ACTGGAGAGGTAGAAGCAGGCAGATCTCTGATCTCTGAGTATTGGGTCAGCCTGGTCTACATTGCCAGTTCCAGATCAGACAGGGTTAAATACTGAGAGCCTGTCTCAAACAAACAAAGAGCAGGAGAGATGTCTCAGTGGTTAAGAACATGGGGCTGTTGTCATAGAGGACCAGGGTTCAATTCCCAATGACCCACATGGTACCTCACAACCATCTCTAACTCCAGTTCCAGATGATCGAACACCCTCCTCTGGTTTGTATGGGCAGCAGCCATGCACAGCTGCACAGATATGTGCAGGCAAAAGCTCATACACAGGAAATAAAAAAAATTAAAAGAAACCCTGAAATTGTCTTTCAATTAGACATGCAATCCTTTAATGCTTTTACCATTTTGTTTTCAGCACGGGGCATTGAACCAAGGGCCTTGTCCATGGTAGACAAATGTTCTACCACTAAGCTATTCATTCTCATTGCATGAGCTGAGGTCTCACTCTGCAGCCCAGGCTGACCTTAAACTTAGAATCCTCCTGCCTCAGCCTCCTGAGTAGCTGGGATTCCAGGCCAATGCCTTGCAGCCTCATTCCCTTTAAACTTATTGTGAGTCTGTCTTGAGGTTCCCATAACCAAAAGGAGTGGACCTACAGTAAACCTAGAGTAGAGAGAACTATAGTAAACCCTGGAGTGGATTCTGTAAATTCTGGCACACTGTCCCTGCCTTCACCTCAAGCTCCCAGATGCCCACTGAAGTGCTAATCTTCACAGGCTCATTCCGAGTAGGAAGGGAAGAAATGTGGGGGGAGCAGTAAGAAGGATGTACCATCATTTACATTTCATTGTCCAAACTGATTAAGCTTTTATCTAATAGCAAAGAAGCCAGAGACAGTTGTCTTTGGGCTGAATGTGTGGGTGACCTGAACAAAGTGAGGGTGCTCTTACTGAGGCGCTTAGCAGTTAGTAGTCTCTGCTCACCACAGTCTAGTGCCCAAAGGCCCAGACCAGTGACTCCACCTTTAGCATGGTACCAGGGCCTGAGAGGGCCAGTCTGCCATCTGGTGGCCAGTTGGTCACACTGGAAGCGGTTCATTATGGAAGTGACCCAGTTAGGTCCCCATAGGAGTTATTCTAACTCTTCCTGCCATACTTCTCTCAGTGATCTCAGGAGGGATTAACAAATATCTAGTGTTGGCCAGGCGGCGTAATCCCAGTACTTGGAAGGCAGAGGCAGGCAGATCTCTGTGAGTTTGAGGCCAGACCGGTCTACAAAGGGAATTCCAGAACAGTTAAGACTGTTAACACAGAGAAACCCTGTCTCGAAAAATAATCAGCACCAACAACAATAACAAAATATCTAATGTCATGATATCAAAAAAGCATCACTTTTGAACAGAAGTCCCCTTTTAAAATATTTATTTATTTGTTATGTACACAATATTCTGTGTGTATGCCTGCAGGTCAGAAGAGGGCACCAGACCTCATTACAGATGGTTGTGAGCCACCATGTGGTTGCAGGGAACTGAACTCAGGACCTTTGGAAGAGCAGGCAGTGCTCTTAACCACTGAGTCATCTCTCCAGCCCAGAAGTCCCCCCCCCTTTTTTTTCAGCAAAAAAAGTAAAGGCAAGTTTGTTACCAGAGTCCCCCGGCTTTACATGCCGGTGACACAACCTACTGAGGTGGTTAGTGTCAGCCAGAAGACAACCTCAAATGTATCCACAATGAAGGACTTGGTGTATGCTCTAGTCAGAGTCCAGTCCGAGGAGCTGCTTCTCTCCCATAATCCACGGCTCAGGGGACATAAAGTCCTGCTCTCTGTGACGGTCAGCTGTAATTGTCAACTTGCCACAGCCTAGGATCACTGGAGAGGAGCGTCTCAGTGACAGATAGCCATTGTCGTCTAGCTCAGGTTGGCCTGTGGTTGAGGTGTGGAGACCCATCCTGCCGTGGCTGACACTGCTGTGTGTTCGGGGCTTGGCCTGGGGAAGCCCAGAGAGAGAGCTGAGCAGGGAGCGTGCATGGGGAAGCCCAGAGAGAGAGAGCTGAGCAGGGAGCGTGCATGCATTCGTTTCTCTCTGCTGTTGACTGGGACTGGGATGCGACTAGCTGCTTCGGTCCTGCTACCAAGGCTTTCCCACAAGAGTGGGCTAGAACGATTCGGAATGGTAGATTCAAATAGTGAGTTCGGAACAGTAAGCCGAACAAGCCCCTCCTCTGCTAAGCAGCTCTTTAAATTGTGGTATTTTATCACTGCAACAGAAGTGGAACCAGGGCACCCCCTTCTTAAGACCATGGTCTCTGCTTCTTTAGAGATTTTAGTCGTCCAGGAATCATGTTTCCATCGGGGTACCCCACAAAAAACCACTGGTTTGGAAGTTGAGACTCACATCCGGCAGTGGCATATTCCTTACTCCTTATGCATGGTTGAACACACACACACACTCACGCACACACAGAGAGACGGGGGGAATGAATAGCTCTGAGATGAGTTCTGGTTGGCATAGTAACCAATTCTTCCACATGAAAACCCAGAGGTCTGTCTCTGGACCCTCTGAAACTCCCTGAGCATCTTCAACCTTCTTGGCCACTTGTAAAAGTTAATAGAGGGTGACATCTGCTCAGCATGAACGGCTCAGGCCTGCCTCGGCTCCCTCCTCAGTGAAGTGTGATGATCCGTGACGGCAAACCCCAGATTGTTCAAGTGGCACGCTGAAGGCCAAGGCCACGGAGTGAGGAGTGTGTGTGTGTGTATGTGTGTGTGTGTGTTAGCATGCTTCAAGGCATGCATTGAGAAGCCAGCACCTCAGAATTTATCTGTATCCTCTCTTCTTGTTCTCTCATGCTCAAATTTCTTGCTGGTGTTAACCCTTGATTTCAGTTATTTGTTTGTTTTTTGGTGGAGAGATTTTTGGGTAGTGAACTCTACAATTCAGTGTGTAACTGTAGATTATCGAATGGAGTCATGACTAGCATGGAGACAGGAACATCACTCCGGATCCCCCCTGCAGGAGTGGGATGCAGTCAATGGGATGGTGAATGATCCCTTAGGAGCAAAGGATAAAGCTCTTATATATTTTTTAAAGATTGGTTTTTGTACATAGGCTTGGCTGTCCTGGGACTCACTATATAAGCCAGGGTGGTCTCTGTCCCACAGATCCACCTGTCTCTACCTCCCAAATGCTGGGATTAAAGGCATGCTCCACAATGCCCAGTTTAAAGCAGTTCTTATTTGATTGTCACGTGCCTACCTTAGGTTGGGTGACACCACTTTATGGTATTTTCACAGAGGTCTTGGAAGGGGAAGTGGGGTGGAAATGAAGTCATGAGTGCGCTGTGAGCAGACACCAGAGATGCCCCTCCAGCCGCCTGCCGCCATGAGTGCGCTGTGAGCAGACACCAGAGATGCCCCTCCAGCCGCCTGCTGTCATGAGTGCGCTGTGAGCAGACACCAGAGATGCCCGTCCAGCCGCCTGCCGTCATGAGTGCGCTGTGAGCAGACACCAAAGATGCCTGTCCAGCCAGCTGCTGTCATGGCTTTTTGTGCTCTAGGGCCTTGAGGCCTGGAGAAGGAACTTCCAGGCACCCAGGCAGCTAGGACTTCTGTCTCAATGTGGCTTCTGTTTAGAAGAGCAGATAAATCAGAAAGGGACTTGAATACCAGCAGAGGTGGCCCTGTGTTATCTGGGTGCACTGTGGCAGACGTGTTCGGTTCTTTTGTGGCAGCCGGAGGGAGGTGGGTACTGGAGCCAGCATGGTCCTGGCTTTTTGGTGCTGCGCAGGGCATTGGTGGATTCATGTCCTGGCCGCTGTCCTGGGGCAGAGCGGTTCTGGAGTTAGTGGTGGTGGTGGCAGCTCTCCCAACAGGCTGGTTCTGCACTGGGGTCTAGAGTTGTTTGCAGTAGCCCAGCATCAGTGTGCTTCTCAGCTGTTCCGGTGCATCTGTAGCCAACCTCACTGCAGCAACACTCTGGCCCCTCTGCGCCTGCTGGGCAGACTGGGATCCACAACGGAGCCTGTCCTCTGATTCTACCTCACCTCCTTTGTCTCTTTCCACGGTTTATGAAATGGACAGATTTTCTTTAACTTACCTGAAAATTAGCATTTCCTGGGCCAATGGGCCAATGAGTTGGCTTGGTAGGAAAATGCACTTGTTTCAAAAACCTGGTGACCTAAGATTTGGTCCCTGGAACCTATGTGGAGGTAGAAGGAAAGAACTATCTCCATAAAGCTGAAATCCACATGCAGGCTGTCACAGGCAGCCTCCTCCCTATTCACACACAATTATATATATAGTATAGCTTATTATATCATATATTATATAATAATGGCACATATTATATTATAATAATATATATGTTATAATATATAACATAAAATTATAATGTTACATTTGATTATATATTATGCTATATATGCTTATATAATGTGTAATATTATAATATATATGTAATTACAACTTATTTAAAAATAAAAATATTTTTTGGTATTCTTTTACCCATTATAATTACCACCCACATTTATGATAATTTCTCTAGCCATTTCCATTTCTCCTCTCCCTCTTTCCCATCGCATCTGTTTCTTAATTATTGAAACATCCTCTCATGTGGGATATGATGGGATATGATGTACTCTATGTAGCAGAAGCTGGACTTGAACTCTTTTCAAAAAAGTTATTAATTTGTTTATTTATTTATTTAGTGAGCTGGGGCCTCAGTATATAACCCTGGGTAGCCTGGAACTCACTATGTAGTCAGGCTGGCTTCAGACTCTCAGAGATCTGCCTAACAATGCTTCCCGAGGGCTGGGATGAAAGGGTTGCACCACTACCCCTGGCTTATTTTTTTATTTTATGCGTATGAGTATTTTGCCTGCTTATGTCTGTGCACCAGTTGTGTGTAGTACTCCCAGAGGCCATAAGAGGGCATCAGAGCCACTGTTCCAAGACACTTGGAATTGACCCTGGATCCTCTGGAAGAGCAGCCAGTGATCTACATGCAGCAGACACTTACTAGACACCTTTTCAAATAATGATGCCCCAGTATACCAAACAGGAAGGACCGAATGCGCTGTGCAGCTATTTAAAGAATGAACTAGACTTTAAATCCAGGAAGCTACAGGGCCTTGCATGAGGTAAGTGAAAACAGTTCTTTGCAGGATAATGTGTCAAAGAAGGACTCTGTTTTCGTGAAAGTAAGCTGCAAAGCCTGTATTATGTTTATGAGCTGGGAGGAGGCTGGTTCCGGCTGTAATATCAACTATGTAGGTGTGTGCGTGCTGAGGTATGGGGGATGGGACATCAGCCGTGCCTGAGGGGGAGGGTATTCACTTTTTCTTATGTATTTGCTATTTTCTGGTTTCAAATAAGAACATGTTGCTTTTATGCTCTTGGGAGAGGGATTTTAACAGATCTCTAAGGAGCCTAATATCTGGGGCCGCATGCTTGCAGCCAGGCATCCAGTCTCTACCCAGTGCCTTGCCTGCTCCCTGGGTGGTACTTAACCCCACGGAGGTCCTTTCTGCAGGAGACTTTCCAGGACCCACCACCATCTGAGCCTGCAGAGTCGGGAGAAGGATCTCTAGCCAATGGGGTGATGTGGTAGTGAGAGCTTTGGGTCTTCTGTGGTTCGGGGACTAAGCAAGGCAGAAAGGGTGGGAGGGTGTTTTCTTTGATCCCCTAGCATCTGCCTGTTTTCAAAGGCTGCTAGAGGATCCCATTCAGTCCCTGGGGGACAGGAGATCACAGGCAGACTATCCCATCTACTGAGTCCTTTTCCGCACTCTGCTTCAGAGGCAGCTGGGGTCCTTCCCAGGGGTGTCCTGAGCCATCCCTCATATTGTGGAAAGATGCAGAAATATACCCCACCTCACAAGCCTGATGTGGTCAGAAGGGCTGGGGCAGTGGCGGGGGCAGGGAAGGCTTACAGTGGGATCTCCTTTTCCTGCTTTTTCATTTCTCTTCTCCAGGATATCCATGCTGTGTCTGTTTCCACCCCCTCCTCAACTCTGACTCATTTCCTATGTAGTGAGTTCTGTCCAGCAGATAGAAAACCCTTCAGCCCAGGGTGGTACCGACAGACCTCACTCCAGCTTTCTTTGGCTTATTGATGTCTTTAGTTTTTGAGACAAGGTCTCCTGTAGCCAAGTGTGGCCTCAAAGTCACTATGTAGCTCGAAGACCTCATCTTCCAGCTTCCAGCTCACGAGTGTTGGGCCTACAGGTTTGAGCCACTGTGCCTAGCTCAGTTGCCTCGCCCTAGGACTGTTTTTAAAGTCTTCTGGTAGGTCAGCCTATCACGTGGCCCATTCTCTCTCTCTCTTCCTGACTTCTGATGTCCTGTGACCGGCCACCATCTCCCCCGCTACCACAGCTTCCACGCCATGATGGACTACACTCTCACGCTGAGAGCCAGGATAAACCCTCCCTTCCTGAAGTTGCCATAGTGATGAGGAAGTAGCTAATGGCACCAAAGGAAGTAGGTTTGCAGAGAGAAGACTTCGAAGGCTGATGAGGGGCAGCTGCAATGGAAGACCAGGCAGCCCCAGGTAGAAAAGGGGTCTGGGGCTCCTAGATCCTACAACTGGCTGGATAGTCTTCTAGTCAGGTGCTGTAACAGGCCCTGAAGCCCTTTGGTGATCTTCCTTTTCCAAAATTGTCGTTCGATGATAACAGCGATGGTGGGTGAGGCCTGGACTCTCCCAGATGTAGGAGTCTGAGAGCCTAACGCATACTGATCTGGGGGGAGGGGCAGCAGGAAAGGAACAGAAAACTCTGGACTTGAACAGGATTGGTGAAACCCCAGGAAGCCCCGGGACTTGGTATTGCTTTGTCTATATTCCATCTGCTTTTCCCTGTGCTACCTTCACATCTAAGTTCTCTTTCCTCATGGTGGCAAGGTGGCTGCCAGAAGCGCTGGACCTATCTCCCACCCTCTCAGCAGCTCGAGCAGAAAGTGAACATCTCTTTTTCCAACAGTTTCAACAAAAGTTCCAGGACTAAGTCCCCTGGGTGCTGAATGGGACAACATGGCGTTACGGTTTGAGTGTGAAGTGGCCACCGTACGTTCATTTGTTTGAATATGTGGTCCCCAGCTGGGCAACTCTGTCTCATGAGGTTGTGGAACCTTTAGGAGACAGAGCCTCACTGGAGGAAGCAGGTCAGTGGGGAGGAGGGCGGGCCTTAGGTTTACAGCCTGACCCTAGTTCCTGTCCAGTTTCTGCTTCCTGTTCCACTGAGATGTAAAGAAATGAGAAGCTATAGTCCATGTTCGCTCACACCCCCACAGAGCCTCCACACCCCACGCTCACACCCCCAC